CCTTTTTTCAACTGAGCTCTCCTAAGCCTTTTATTAGGCCCAGGTGCTCCTTCTTTAATTACCTGTCTTCCAGCTACTTAAGCAGTTCACTGTTTCCTAGTGGACCTGGGTTGGCTCATTCCCTTCAAGTAGGTTGGGCATCTGACTCCTTTAAAGGGCCAGCCCTGTGACAGGTATATGTGGGCATGCAAATACCATTGCAGTTCTGTTGTGGCAGGAAAAAAAATTGCAGTGTGGTTGTGCTGAACTGTGTTAGCTCTAAATGTCAGGTGTGTGTGCGTCAGCACCCACTTGCACAAACATAGTTCTGTCTTCAGTGTTCATGATCTTTCTTTCTCATCACCCTGGTATCAGAGCACCTTAATCTATAAGAGTCTTCAAACATTTTGATTGCTCTGCAAACTGTTTCTGCCCCATTCAGAGAGTTAATTATTATAACTAAAAAGGACATGAAGAGGTTATACATGAATGGAGGTCTTTTGATCCTGGATGATCTTTAGACTCTGAAGGCTGCTGTGGTGATGAAAAGGAACCATTGTTTGTTTTGGATTTTTTTTAAAGTAACTAGTTAAAATTAATAAATAAACCTTTAAAATAAGACATTTTCTATCATTTTCAAGCTGGCTTTTAAAGGAGTCAGCAGCTTGTCTCTAGAGAGTTGTTTTTTGTGTAGGGCATTAGACTTTGCTCCTTGTTTTTTATGTCTATACTAACAAATCCCCGTGGCTTTTTTATTCTGCTTTAATTTTCTGCCATCATTTGAGATATTACAGTGCCCTATTGATACCTTAGATAGATACATCTGTGTTATGCATTGATATTTAAAGAATTCAGAGATGAACCCAAACAAGAATCCTGAATCCAAATGCTTTCACATCTTTGAGGTTTTAAAAATCTGGGTCCTGATCTGAATCTTGTGGCTTAAACTCACGCTATTAAAAAACCAAAATAAAACAAGCCTCCAGCCCCCAAAGGTATACACTCCCGGACATGCACTCCTTGGACATATCAGCTTGTAGTCTGCTGTCCTCTTCATTCTGAGGTCACCTTCCTGCCATTTCCATGTAACCCCACAGTTGGCAAATTTCCTTCCGGTCCTGCATAGTTTGCCTTTGTCTTGATTCACCTCTGCTTCATACTCTTGGCTAGTTGGCAATGCAGGAATTTGAATGCTATGGAGAGCAACATTCAGGGGTGGGAAAAGGATAAACAAGATCCAAAGTCACCAGTAATTCAAGGTTTCACCCATCTCCTACGACACTTTTCCTCCCAAGTGCATTCCTTCCACTCTTGAATCCCAAGTGTGGCAGCTAAGCTCAGATAGCTTGTGGGCAGCAATCATCTGTGTTGCTGCAACTCAGCCTGCTGCTCTCAACTTCTGACTCACTGTTCCCTCTGGGTCTCCTCTGAATTTGAGACCATTTTCCATGTGAAAGCACAGTATATGCAATGGGTGTAAGCCTGAATCCTTTATTTATACTAAACTCTCATTGAAATTTGAGGGATAGAAGGATAGTCTTATGGTTAAGGCACTGGACTGGAACTCAAGTGATTTGGGCTCAATTTCTGGCTCAGCCTTGGGCAAGTCCCTTAGTGTCTTTGTGCTTCAGATTCCTCACCTGTAAAAAGAAGATAATAATATTGTTACGAACCTTAATGTTTATAAAGTATGTTGAGATCAGTGGATTGAAGGTGATGTATAGAAATGGAAAATAGTTATAGTCAGTGGGAGTTTTGATTAAGAAAGTACTGCTGGATAGGGCCCAAGTGCAGCAATGTTTTTGTAAGAGACTTCTTACTTCTTACTGTTGCTCTCTTTCAAACAGCCAAGACATTCGGGTTATGATCTGTGTGTTTATTATCGACTTATATCAATAGCATTAGTTTGTTAGAATATCTGCAAATCATATTATACCCTCTTTTCAAAGTTTGCCGTCCTCTGTTGATTGGATTTGTGAACTCTGTGATCAAGAGACCCATGTCTCAGGCACTGCTGCACTCACATGGACCTCCTTGCAGGATCACAACTTGAGAGACTGTCTTTGCTGGAAGCTCACTCGGATACTTGCTTACACCAACAAGGTGTTAATTTATATAAAATTGGTTCCACTAACATTTAACATTATAATCCACCCATGGCAATTTACAGATAGATCTTTTCTTTTCCTGGAATGGGTTAATTCTGCAATCTGTTGAGGATTCTGCTGAGTCTAGGGTTGCCACCTGTCCACTCTTCACCTGGACAGTCCGGTTTTCAGCTTGTGTGTCTGGGTGCCATTTGACAATCCTTGATGTCCAGTTTTTTTTAATCTAGAGGGGAAGAGGTGGAGCAGGGGCTGGGCCTTGGGAGAAAGAGGCGGAGAATGGGTCGGGGCGTCAAGGGAAGAGGTGGAGCGAGGCGTGGCCTTGGAGGGAAGAGGCAGAGCAGGGGGCGGAACTTCGGGGATCCAGTTACCAGCCATTAGAAAGGTGGAAACCCTAGCTGAGTCTGTGTACTCAAATAAAAATTCATAGGGCCTGATGCGCTCATGCTTATTTGGTTAAGCAGACCCAGTGGTCCAGTTCCTGAAAAGTATTGAGCACATGCTACAACCATTGCCTTCAGTGAGAGTATTGCTTGGGTAAGAACTGAATAAAAACTTCATTGTCTGATCCATTGACTTTACTGGTTCTATTAGTTTGAGTTAGGTCTCAGGATCTGGCCTACAACGTGGCAATAGTTTCTTTGCGTTCTTTTTAAAGCATTATTTGGTCTATATTAGGGCTGTCAAACAATTAAAAAAATGAATCGCGATTAATCGCACGATTATTTGTGCTGTTAAACAATAATAGAATACCATTTATTTAAATATTTTTGGATGTTTTCTACATTTTCAAATATACTGATTTCAATTACAACACAAAATACGTGTACAGTGCTCACTTTATATTTATAACTGCATTCAAAAATAAAACAATGTAAAACTTTAGAGCCTACAAGTCTACTCAGTCCTACTTCAACTCAATCACTCAGACAAACAAGTTTGGTTGCAATTTGCAGGAGATAATGCTGCCTGCTTTTTGTTTACAATGTCACCTGAAAGTGAGAACAGGAGTTCGCATGGCACAGTTGTAGCCGGCGTCGCAAGATATTTATGTGCCAGAGGTGCTAAAGATTCATATGTCCTTTCATGCTTCAACCACCCTGATGACGGATTCTACTTGATAACGATACAAAGTAGAGCAGACCGATGCATGTTCATTTTCATCATCTGAGTCAGATGCCACCAGCAGAAGGTTGATTTTCTCTTTTGATGGTTCCGGTTCTGTAGTTTCCATATCTGAGTATTGCTCTTTAAAGACTTCTGAAAGCATGCTCCACACCTCGTCCCTCTCAGATTTTGGACAGCACTTCATATTCTTAAACCTTGGGTCGAGTGCTGTACCTATTTTTAGAAATCTCACATTGGTACTTTTTTGTGTTTTGTCAAATCTGCTGTGAAAGTGTTCTTAAAATGAATATGTGCTGGGTCATCATTTGAGACTGCTATAACATGAAATATTTGGCAGAATGCGGGTTAAACTGAACAGGAGACATACAATTCCCCCCCAAGGAGTTCAGTCACAAATTTAATTAACGCTTTATTTTTTTAAATGAGGATCATCGGCATGGAATCATGTCCTCTGAAATGGTGGTTGAAGCATGAACATACAAATGTTTAGCATATCTGGCACATAAATACTGCGCAATGCCGGCTACAAAAGTGCCATGCGGACACCTTTTCTCACTTTCAGGTGACATTGTAAATAAGAAGCAGGCAGCAGTATCTCCCGTAAATGTAAAAAACTTGTTTGTCTTAGTGACTGGCTGAACAAAAAGTAGGACTGAGTGGACTTGTAGGCTCTAAAGTTTTACATTGTTTTGTTTTTGAGTGCAGTTATGTAACAAAAAAAATCTACATTTGTAAGTTACACTTTCATGATAAAGAGATTCCACTACAGTACTTGTATGAGGTGAATTGAAAAGTACCATTTCTTTTATCATTTTTACAGTGCAAATATTTGTAATCAAAATTAATAATATAAAGTGAGCACTATACACTTTGTATTCTGTGTTGTAATAGAAATCAATATAACTGAAAATCTAGAAAAACATCCAAAATATTTAATAAATTTCAATTGATATTCTATTGTTTAACAGTACGATTAATTGTGATTAATGTTTTTGAGTTAATCGCATGAATTAACTGCGATTAATCGACAGCCCTAGTCTATATACATATCTATTTAAACAAATATTGCAATAGATACTCATTTGATTAACTAGTCTCTTTACTATATTTACGCTCCTGCCATACTGTGTCTGGACTAGAATTTTCTAACTTTGCACAGAGTTCAAGTATAACATTTACTAAAAACAAATGGAAGGGGGAAGCAAAAACCTTATAATACAGTATAGACATGGAAGTTATGCAACAGAGAACAAAGACCAAGCCTCTGCGATTGTGTTGAATAAACACCTCCTGCAAGGTCATGAGTGCCCTTGGTTAAGTCAGTGGGAGTTGATGATAGTACCTTATCATATTGAGGTGATAGGGATATAATATTTGATCTGGTCCAATAGAGATGTGTTATATTAATTTTTACAGGCATTTCAGAAACGGATACAAATACAGATCAGAAACTGCATTAGTCAAGAAGATAATAAATACTTAAAGAAATATGCCAATGGCTTCAGGACTATTATTTAACTTATTTTAAAATTACTGGGCACTTCTAGATTCTGCAGACTCAATTTTCAACCAACATCCAAAAATGTGTGTGCATAATTTTCGGGAGCACCTGTTTGTGTAACTATAGGGAGATATCTCTTTAAGAGACCCATTGGGAGGAGGTAGGAGTGAGTTGTGTCTGGGTCATTGTTGCTAGGCAGATTAAGCACTCCACATCCAGAAGCTTCTGGAATTGGGTGTGGTAGTTTTGGGTATGCTCCAATAGGTTCCCTGTTGTTAGGGTCAGACTCCATGAGGCAAGCAGTCAGGGCAGCTGCTTTGCAGAAGGCCATGTGTCCTGTGTGAGTTGGGAGAAGCTGAGTCCAGGAGCAGAAAGCAGGCTGTTGTCCCTAATGCTGAAGCATTTTGCAGCAGCCCCTCTAACAGGGAAGCCTGGGCAATGGTAATTACAGCAAGGGAAAATTGGGAAGGAAAAATAACTTCTATTTTAATTGTATGCTTTGAATGTTGTTTTGATTTTAGCCAAACTGTTCCAGTTAAATTATCTCAACTAGTCTGATTCACCAGCTTTTCTTTAAATGTAGTAATGGGGAAAGAGTTGTTTATATTTTGCTATTCTCAGTTTTGTATTTTCTTGTAACAGGGTTTCTGTACACATAACTGAGTGGTTAATCAGTTAGCTGACTGGCTAGCAGTGATTTCAGCAGAGGAAGCGTCTGCGTGGATTCCAATGGAAGATTCCTACAAGCAAGTGGAGGGAAGATGTTGTTTTAGACTCAGCAGACTGTGTAGATTTGGTGATCAAAGACTCTCTGAGATTTAGGTGAACAAAACCTAAGCTTTTAGGAACTCTCAGTTTCTTCTCACTGTATTTCTGTGGGGACTGAACTGTTCAGATTTTAATTTGTTTTCTTTATGTTCATGTGTAACTGTGACAGTAATGTCTGTGGATAATAAAATAGCCATGTCATGCTGTAAAGAAGTGAGGTTTTTACTCACGAAAGCTTATGCCCAAATAAATCTGTTAGTCTTTAAGGTGCCACCAGACTCTTTGTTGTTTTTGTAGATACAGACTAACACGGCTACCCCCTGATACTTGTAAAAATTAGATTATTATTTATAAAATCTTATGATAAAGAAACAAAGTTATTTAATTAAATTCATTTCTTTAGTTCCTTTTGGGACTTGCATGTGAGGAGGTTGACCCCCTGTACAATTCTTGCTGAAAATCCTTAGAGACTGAACTCTGGGTCTCCAGCTACTTTCTATGGGAGTTGGGGTTTTTTTTCTTAAGGTACTGGAGACAGGAAATGAAATGAACTCTAGCCCACCCAAAGGTTACATTTGCATGTGCAAAACTAGGCATTTGTGTGCTCACACAAATCAGACAGTTCAGCTCCAAAGCCAGTTTGGTGTGAGAGGGCATGCCTTCGAAGGATGGCTGAACATTAGGCCTTAAATACCAAGATTTTCTTTTGTTAGTTTTGAAGCTACTCTTCCATAGTCAATTTTTGGGGGGGATCCATAAAACCACATTTTGTATTCTCATGCTGGCTCTGCATAGCAATTAACTATGAAACTCTATCCCCAGAGCTGTAAAAACACGGTCAAGCTACTCTGAAGCCAAAGAAATAAAAGTTCTTGTTAAACAAAGTCAGCCATGTTAACTTCAGCTCCATTTAAAATAGATAGGAAAACAATCAGTTTGTTACATTGGAAAAGACAAAAATGAGTGGAAAAAATGTTGTTTGCAAACTTCTAAGGATGTGTTACAAACAATAGAGAGAAAAAACCCTACACTATTTTTATGGGGGGAAATTCCCAACATCATTCAAGCTGATGCAAAATGAATGAAAAGTCTAAAAGTTAAAACAGTGATCTGGGAATAAGGAGATCCAGGGGCCACTCCCAGTTATGCCACTGATTCTCTATGTTCTGCAATTACTAATCTTTCTGGGCCTGATTCTCAGTTACTCTATGTCTCCTACCTAGCTGGAGCAGAGCTAAACCTTCTTCCAGCCCAGCTTCTCCAATTTATACCAGGGTCTAAAAAAGCCCTTGCATAGCCACTCCATCCTGCCTCATGTATAGGAATGGAGCAACTGAGAATCAGGCTCTCTGTCTGTTTCCTCAGCTGTAAAGTAGGAATAATAATACTTATGTACATGTCAGTGGGGTCATGAGGCTTAATTAGCAAATGTTTGTAAAGCATTCTGAGATCCTCAGATGGAGGGTATTGGAGAAGTGGAAAATGTTTACTCAAGTAAAATAAAATATATTAAATCAATAATAAATAATGGTTTGCACTTCTATAGCAAGGTGTAATGCAAATATCTCAGATTGCTTCAGATATATTAATTAATTTAGTCTCACAATACCCCCGTGGTGCAAGGAAGTATTATGCCCATTTTACAGATGGAGAAAGTGAGGCACAGAGCGCTTAAGTGACTTGCTTACAATCACATCGTTCATCTCAAGGAGAGCTGGTAAAATAACCTGGCACTCATGACTCCCAGTTCTCTGCTCTAGCAGGTAGACAACACTCCTTCCAAACCAATAACATTATCAGAAGCATTTAAGAAAATCTGCCAGAAATAAAACACTACATATCCCTCAATTAATCCAATTATCTCTCTCTAAAAAAAGGTTTTTAACACCTCCCACACATAACAGCAAATTGGTGATGTTAACAGTGCATAATCAAGAAACAGGAGGCTGTGCTATTGGGTAATGTATATCCCATTCTGTGGATGAGATTTTTGTTTAATTTTAATAAATATAAATGTTTGGAAATGTTTAATTTTGAAGTGTGTTCTGGACTATTTGTCATAATACTACTCATTATATTAGCCTAATATAGTTGCTACAAATGTCTCACTGCAGAAACATCTGTAGGTAGATTGTACAATTCCTGGTGATGGTAGGTAAGAGGGTAGATTTTTGCATCTTTGTCACTCTGATGGTTATTTTTCTGAAGGCAAAGAGCAACATGGGCAAGTAGTTAAAGCATGGGACTGGGAGTTAAATTTCCTTTATTCTACTCGTGGCTTTACTGACTCACTGTGTACTTTATTCTGACTCACAGTGCCTTATTGTATCACAATTAGAAAATGGCATTGGGAAATTTTGCGCTCTGACTAGTACCTCTGATGATATCCTAACAACACCCAGGATATTGTTGTAACTTGGCATCTTACTGGTTTAAAGGCCTGATGTTCAGTTATGATAGGTGGATTGTGAAATAAATGTAACTGCTGTATCTAAGAAACACTAACTGCTTGTTGTCTCACTGCTAAAATGAGAACACCCTTATATTGTAAACTAATGAAATGGCTACAGATGTATCTATATCCTATTGTATGTAGGCACCTAGATACTATGGTGATTGGCACATTAGACATGCCTACACCAATATGTAGTAGATGTGGTCTTTTATCACATCTGCAATGATAGTGCTATAGTCTGGATAATAATGATAGAAAATGTGGACCCAACGTAAGATAGTAGGAGACAGAAGGGGCCCAATCCAAATGTCCTTGTGACACAAGAACCCCCTCCGTGCTGATAAGGGGGTACAAGAATATCCTGATTCTGGTATGTACATTCTGGTTACCAAAGAATGTCATATGAGGTCATAAATGAAAGCCAGGGTCACTCTGGTCAGTAATATCATTGTCAAATGTATGTACAGATACTATGTAGGAAGTTACATATCTATACTGAAAATGTTTTAAAGTCTGTGTGAAGGCAGGGTTGACAAACAGATTTTTCAGTCAGACAAAAGATGTTTATTCAACTGTCTGTTTGGCAGCATGTAAATTAAGCATTGTAAGCCAACACAATGGATGGACATTCACATTCGAAATCAACAGGGAAGAGCACATAGATAAAACAAGCAATGGTGGGGTTATATTGTCTGTGAGTACATACAATTAACTTTGGAGATATAAGGAGAAGGCAAAAAGGATACCCCCTTATCCTGTCTCTAGGAAGTAAGCTGGCAGTGTGTTTATATTCATGACAATGGAATCACAATCAGCTTTGGCTGAAGATGCTGCAAAAGGCTTTGGGTGAGCTAAACTTCTTTAGACAGGAGGTTAACTTGTTAAGTTTAGTCTCTAGAAAGTGTGTTATGATTTTGTTCTATATGTAATCTTTTGTTTACATTATCCTTACACACTATTTCTTGAATCTTTGGTAATAAACTTATCCTTGTTTTCACTGTAAATATATCTAAGTGCTGTGATATTAAGCAAAATACTGATCCTGAGTTGAATCATACAAACTGGTGTGTACACTGTTTCCTTGGGGACAGCAGACCTGCTATTTCTGTGAGTGTTCTGTGGATATGAGGCTGGACACTACAGGGGAACACGTAAAGGCACTTGGGGAGTAAGAGAAAAATCAGGCCCAGATATTTTAGGGTGAAAGGAACTGCTTATCCACCTAGTTCCTCTCCTTCCTAAGGGTAAGAATGACTGACTAGTTTTCAACAGTTATGTTTGTGCTCTACATAGCCTTGTAACTATTATGATTTTGTTTTCTGTGTACTGCACTGTGATTGGTCCCACTTACTGAGGGTGTTACCCACTGCAAACTTCCTCCTCAGGGATTACAGTGGTAAACTAATAATGCAAAAATCAGGTGTTCTGGTGCATCACACCTCAACCCTCTGGAACATGCCTTCTACATTACTGTCCTTTGGACATTCTCCTGTTCCTCCCCAGGGCCGGCTCCAGGGTTTTGGCTGCCCCAAGCAGCCAAAATAAAAAAAAAAGCCGTGATCGCAATCTGCGGCGGCAATTCGGCGGGAGGTCCTTTGCTCCGAGAGGGAGTGAGGGACCGTCCACTGAATTGCCGCCGAATACCTGGATGTGCCGCCCCCCTCTGGAGCGGCCGCCCCAAGCACCTGCTTGCCAGGCTGGTGCCTGGAGCCGGCCCTGTTCCTCCCTCAAGTCATGTCTCTGGGCAGAGTTTCTCTAGGCCATGTCTACTGGCTCCCTGGACGCCTTTGAGGAGCAGTGGGCGCTCTCTGCTCAGTGTCCCCCTCTGGATCCCTGATTTTTATTTGTTGCCTCCCAAAATTATATGATGCCTGGGTCTGGTGGCTCCTCCCCTTCAGATGAAGTGCGTGTGTGTGGGGACTCCTGCATATCCCCAGTACTTCAGTAGGTGCACTCTGATGGGGTGTCTACTGCACACAAGGCCTGACTAGGTTAAAAAAAGGCCAATTAACTCTGAGTCAGGGCTGATAAGGCCTAATGGCTGATGAAACCCAGCTGGGGGAGGAGCTGGGCAGTGGGAGGGATGGAACTCTACACCCACTCTTTAGAGAGGAGGGGTGTTGGTGAGAGACAAGGAGGAGTCCTAGGGGAACAAACCCTGGGATCCTGCCTGGGAATACGGACTTTGGCAAGAACATGAGAATGTGATGTAGCCACAGGGAGCGGAGGAGGCTCCAGTCATAGCCTGGGGTAGGGTGGACAGGTATCTGCTTTTTACTATAAAATCTGGTCAAAAAGGGGACTTGACAATGTCCAGTTAGATCTATTGACTGGACACCCGAAGTCAGTTACTGTAGGTGGTGGAGGGGGGGAGGCACTTGGTCATCACCTGCATCATTCCCTACTCAGATTGGGCTGTCTCTTACCTGCATTGGGTGGTTGCATCTCCCAGCCCTGGCTTTGCAAGTGAGTTCCTCCTGACTGTGGGGGGAGGGAAGCAGCAAACAATGAGGGGCAGAGGGTGAAAAGAAGCAAGTGGGGGGTGGGGCCTTGGGGTGGGAGGGAATGTCTTTGGGGTGTGACATTCTGTACCTTCAAGCAGCACCCTGGAACCCCCATATTCACCACTGTCATATAATTATTATATGTTTTGTACAAAATATGCCTTGTGAGTAGGATGACCAGATAGCAAGTGTGAAAAATCATGACTGGGGATTGGGGGTAATAGGTACCTATATAAGAAAAAGCCCCAAATATCAGGACTGTCCCTATAAAATCGGGACATCTGATCACCTACCTACTTGTGAGGTATCATTTT